GAAATGTGACTGTATTTTTCAAAATACTAGTCTACTAAAACAGAGCCAAGACAAAGGTCAGTTTTATGTTATTGGATACGATAACATGAATGCACATGTGCCGCATCATTATAACTTCCGTATTGTTAGCCAGGCATGGCTGAAAGGTCAATATAATAAAAATAATAAATATATATAAATGTATAATGTTATGAGATTTAAGCTATTTAGTATAAATAGTTATGTTTCCATGTTATAATTTGTGTTCATTCTAGAATAAAAGAGGCATAATTTATATTTATTTCCTAATTTTTTATGGTGGTTACGAGATCGGTCAAATCTACCAAACCCATACAGAGATTCATTACTGAAAATAACAGATTTGCAAAATCTTTATAATATTCTGATAGTTATCTAACTTTTCTTAATAAAAAACTTTATATTTTTTTGCATGTTAGATAGGCAACATGTGAAAAGAAAAAAAAGGCATGAGAAAAATACTGCTTTACAAACCTTAAGATTTAATAAAAAAATGTAATATCTTGCATATGAAAGCATTGTGATGTTTACTGATAATGTGCCAAATTTCGTTAACATTTGATTACTAATTTAAATGTTATCGCATCAAAACTATAACAAGTACAAAATGGTTACAAGGTCGGTCCCAGGGACTGAGCCCATGCTGAAAGATAAATGGTCCCACATAAAAACATACTCTACAATTGAGACAAAAAAAAAGAATATAAAAATGCTGTTAATTTAAAAAAACACTATATATCTTTTACCAATATCATCAAGGTTGAAGTTGTAAGGTTAATGATTGTATTTAAAACATTATTTATGTAATGTACGGCAATCATGGTTTACCTTGAAACGCACATTCCTTGTTTATTTTCTACTTGTCCAAAACTAGAGTGAGACTCTACCCGAGATCCATGACCAAATAAAGCTGGTCCAAACAAAGCACTATAGCAAGGAATGTGACAGTAAGGAACACCTTTATGCTGAAATAAAAGGACTGAGTATAAATTATAACAACATCTGTATGATTAACATGATTTGAGTCTGAGCATACTGTATTATTATTAACTTGTTATAATTCTGCCAGAACATGATGCATACATGTACAAAGAGGCCATTGAATTTGAGGGAGGAAGTGTCATGTTGTTTAATAATAAAATGAGAGCTGCTACCAAAGTTTCTATTTGTGGTGAGTTATGTGCATTATACATTGAAGTTAAGAAATTTTTATAGGCAACAAAACTTCTAATACATACAAACACAACATGAGGGTTAATGTCAAGTGTAATTTCTTTCAGGCTATAAGTACATGTAGTAAAAGCTGATCGTTTTGTGTCACTTACAGAGTTTTTATATAATGTAGCATTATCTTAACCAAACTCAATATGCTTTTTCATTTTGTTCTTAAAAGTTTTAATGGTTTAATTGAAATCTTTGTAGAATTTGCTATTAAATTTTCATTATAAGGATTAAAGAATTGAATAAATCTACTTGGCTCAAAATATAAAATTATTACTGTAGGAAATGTGTAAGTAATTGGAACATACTACAGGATGTATGACAGATATACTCGTATATGTAGTTTGCAACAAAATATAACATGCAGTACAAAATAGATTTGTAAAATATATAAGAATGTTCACTTTATTGTAAAAACAAGTGCATACAATTTTGTATTGTTTGTTGTAGTTTTTACATTCTGATAATGAAAGTTTAATCAAAACATTATTTACTGCCTCCTGGACTAAATAAAAGCCTATTAAATAACCTACTACAAGGATACATTTGTGCTGGGGTCTGGTTGGACCCAGGGTACCCACAACATATGCTTTCAGTTTTCTTTACGCTGAATTTTGCAGTGTTGTGGTAATTTCATCATATATTGGTGGATAACGACTTGAATATAGGAGTATAATAAAACTTTGGCCTTTTGTTGATACGCTGTTTGTATAAGGAATGGTTTAATACTACTTATTTGTATACTGAGGAGCAATGTGATTTTGTAATTTTATGATTTGTCAACATATGCCTTCTAGAATACACATATTTTTATGTTGTTCACATTGCATGCTAACCTTAAGAAAAGTTATAATGCAATTGGTTTTTGAAATTTCAATCGAGAACTTACTATAATAGTAATTTTGTGCCGTGGTCCAGTAGAACCCCAGGTGTTCTACACTGTAACTTTTCAAAGGTGTGTTAAATTATTTAAAACAATTATCAAACAAGGTTTCTATAAATTAGGACATTATAAGCAGTCATCACAGAGAACATTGTTGAGGAATGAGATGCACATACATGCTTATCACAATGATGTTAAAATCAAACAGATATGATGATACTGTACTACTTTGATGGATTAGCCTCAATAATAGCCTATATAGTAAAGCACATGGAAATAAAATGATAAATATATACAGTATATTGAAGTCATTTAATGTGATGTTAAATATGACAGGCATTTCATATGTGCTACTATTAAACCCATAAAACAACACACACATATGGATAAGGTAAAAATGACAAAACTTCATGTCCCAATCACATTTTGTTACTTTTTTTTATATAAAAATGCACAAAGAGCATCAAATTTCAAGCAGCAACTACCTAAGCCAACTAACATAGCATTCTCTACAAATAAAACTCATCCTTCAACTAATTTTTCACCAAAGCAGCATCAAGACAACCATTCTAGGAAGCATGTAACAAATGACTTTCCATTCTATCATATCAAATGGCCTCCAAAGGTGAAGCTACTATTAACTGGACACTCGTGTAAAAAAATTAGAAGGTTAGTTAGTCTAACCTGAATACGGTTTGAATCAGTTAAGTTCTATTAACCTTTTTTAGGCAGGTGACCACCTTTCAGGTGTGATGTACACACCTGTCTATCAAATATCGACATTTTAGTAAGACAAAAATAAATAAATAAACTATTTCAACAATGTTTACTCAAAAATATTTTTGAATTGATATTTTATAAATCATGGGATATCAATGACCTATGACAGTAAGGGTTAATTCAACCAGTAAGTCTACAGACTCTAACTATCCCAGAACCCAGAACTTAACCTCATAATAGTAACCGAGTTATCACATTTTAAGAAAGAAATTCTTTCTCAGTTTTTTATATCTAAACATTGATAGAAATATAGGGTATTAAACAATACAACCTGAAGAACACTGTCAAAGAATGTAAAACTTGTTTTAATTCCTCAGTGTGTGTCAATTTTATTGACAAAACTTAAGGAAAATAGTTTTATGCGTGTGTAACAAGACCGAAAAAAAAACTATGCAAATTAAACCTGAAAATTAATTTTTTTTAAGTAATTATGAATGAAATTAAATATATAAAATACATATACACAAAATGCTGTCAGTCAAAATCAAACACTGGCTGCTTTGGAACTTGAACCAAACTAGCTCACTTAGTAGAGAATTGGTTAATGGTTATAAGTTTAAGAGCTGGTTTGGGAAAATTTATTAACATTCTGAACATTATATTGATCTCCTTCAATTATATTCATTATATCAGTCTCCTTCTAGTGATTATCTCACTCCTGTAAGCCATCTTAATTTATTGGATGGTGAATTAAATCATCTTTGTTGCATGCATGGTTCACTCTTTAATCTAGTTTTATATTTTTAAATAAAAGTCCATAGATGCAGCTCTTTGAGTTGAATAATTTGAGTTTTTCTAACTTTATAACAACGTTTCAATCACTTGTGAGGTTATCATTGGGTAAAATGTTGTTTAAAGTATACAATGGATTTCCTTTTTTTACAACTAGTTTTATAACTGTTATAAGTCTGTAATTACTTGGTTGCATTGTTAGCCTGATGTGCTGAGAATGCGGGATTACAAGAATCCCAATCTTTTCAATTGTGCATTCCTTTAAAAACAATACACTGGGCTATTAGCATGAAATTTGTCTATCTAATCAATAAGCTTTGCCTCCAGGGAAAGCAACTGAGGTGCTAGTCACACTGATTGTGGCCAGGTACATGACTATTTTTAAATTTCTATGTATTGCTCATGGGTCACTATTGTAAGTCTATGAATAATAGAAATTAAATAAAAGATAAGCCATTTGTAGTTTTATTTAAATAACTGATTGGTAATAAAATATACTCAACATTATTGTACTAATGTAATATAACCTCCAAATTACTACTTATGATGTTGCTATTACTGGTGTGCTCCCTCATTATGTTCCAGGCCAAGCACAGATAATTGTCTAATTCATGCTTATATCTTGCAAAATCAATTAATATAACATTAACTTCAAAACATTATTACATACTAAGTGTCACAGGTTGAAATCCTTGTACTACTAAGAATACATTTCATAACATAGAATTGTTATAGCTTATGTATACAATGATGTAAATATGATATGAATTCTAACCAAACATCTCAAAGAAGCTGCTGCTCTTGGTACTCACTTCCAGATGCTGTCCTGGTCTCAATCTTTTTCCACACTCTTCACACCTCAGGCATTCTGGATGCCAATCATAACCTACTGATATTAGTCTTTCAGCTGAAAAAATGAAGTCTTCAACTTGAATTTTCAATCACATAAACTATGATAAAGCATATATTTTATATAGCACTCTTTTATGATATAATTTCAGAAAAATTATTAAAAAAAACAACTTTTCAACAACGAAATCTAAGTTTAACCCTTGTGACTCCTGACTACTGCATCAATAGTAAGTTGAATAATTAAAAAATTAAGTCACTATTAATGTTGTTACTACAGTCTACAGTAAAATCACTAAGAGTAAGAGCTGAATGTCTAAGTTAAACAATTCAAAAATTTTAAGCTGAAGTTTTCACTAGGTATTATTCAATAAAGTATTATAAACATGGTCTACTTCATATTGCAATGTTAGTAATAATAACAGCTCAAGTTAATACTACTGTAGTGTAGTGTCACTGTGTTAGTGCTACTAAAGAGAGAAGTACAGACAGCAGTAATACTATTACTACTAACGTCATTTTTATATTATCAGGACACTAACGTGACTAAGATAACTTCTGAGCTAGTAATAATTTCTTCAACTTGAACTGTTGAAATTTAACTTTAAGCTTAACTTAGTTATATTTTTAAGTTCAATTAATCAACATAAACTTAATTACTTACACTAAATACTAATAAGTAATATATATTACTAACAGTAGTTACTTTGAATACCTGTACTTAATCTAATTAATATAACAGTATTATTAAAATATTATTAATTATTAGTATTGATATAGCATTACAAGTTACAAATGTATACCGAAGTAGACTGGCTTTCCGCACTTATGACAATTCCACATTCTACATTCACACTATTGTATCAGATCACTCAGTTATCGCTGTTTCTTCCGGTTTCCTTATTACATGTACTTATTACAAAACTATAATCCTGTTCCTTACTTCCTATTCAAATTTCAATGCCCCTCAAAATACTATGGGCTTAATTTTTTGTTAGTGACGAACATAAGCACCATTGTACAACGCCAATCCAAACAACACGAAAAAAAAACTTCCTAACCGCTCCCATAGCAGTGGTTGCTGGGATGCGAGTTGTTTAAAACATATATTTAAATTTTTACTGGATCCGTCGACAAAAGTTACAAATAAAACATACGTGTATAAAAATTATTTGTTGTTTAACACGATAAATGTTTGCTTTGTAAGTTATTGCAACATTACAGTAACTTCCGTCATTCAACGTATGAAACTAAATTATTTGTTTTGTGTGTAGCCAACATTCTTTGAGAGCGAAGTAAACAAATACTATAAAAATATATTTCATTTTTATATATTAAAACCACGTCGGGTCTTTTAATATCTCATTATTATTCACATTAATATGTTTTAAGACTTAAAAGTGCAAAAATGTGCAAAACTAATTGAAACTATGATGGTATTAGACAAAAGTATTTTTATCACTTAAAACTATTTTTCTATTTGGTAATTGAATAAGTGTGTGTATGATTAAATATGACCCTGAAATCTGCTATAAACTGCTTTGACTCTAGGTCTGTTGAGAAATTCTACACTGGCTGATCAAACAATTTGCTTATTTTATGAGTATGTTGGTGTTGTAATATGTGAATATATCATGTATTTTCTACCTCCTTTAGTGATATACAAATTAAAAAATATATTTCGCACTGTAATAGCAGCAAAACGTGATTCAGAAAGCCATTAATATTACTTTATTCTAGTTGCTTCGTTTCTTTGTTCTCTCTATATAGTAGGTAATGTCTTTTCTGCTGTAGGGATATTTCAGCAATATGTATAGTATCTGGATTAAAGGATTATTTTAATAAACTTTGCTGGCCAATTATAATGTTGACTGAATGCAACTTCTAACCAATGCTATGAGAAAAAAGAGGTCACAAGTTAGTGCTGCTCATGGACAAATAAAGCGACTTTATCTGTTGAATTCTGGCTTGTTTTCCTTAGCCAGTTCTACGATCGCTGAGTGAATACTTATTTTTAAGCTAACTGTATTTACTTTGATGGAAGTCTATCTTGAGAGAAAGAGAGCTGTGGGACTAAGCACAAGCTAGTAGAAAAAATTGTCCTTTCATGTACGCAAATATATACACTGTGTTTTCTTTGTGTCTGTTAGATAATAAAGATTGCATTTTTTTCACCAGCTTTGCTCATTCTCTTTATTTCACACACACACTAAGAGGACTCAGTTATCTACCATAGAACATTCCACTTATTTTCTAAAAGAACCTGCTGTTATTGGAGGTTAACCTGTCTGATACTTGTAAGAAAATTGTTTTTATCTGAAAATACCTTAGTGTTTTAGCGTAAAGTTACACAACGGGTTATATACACTCTGTCCATCGTAGGGAAGAGAAATCTAGATTTTATTGTTTTAAGCCTTGAAACTTATTGCTGGCGCACCAGGGAACTAATTTGATCAGTAAAGAGGAAATTGTACATACCCCCTTTTATCATTGCATCATTATAATTAGAATAAACCGCTTTTTCTGTGTCTCGGTTAAATATTAGTAGTGGATACAGGAGTGGGGTTCCGGGGGTTCGAACCCCGCCCTTTTCGATGTGAAGTGCCCTCAATATGTAACACCTATATTTTTCATCATTTTTGGATTTTCTATATATGTATGTCCATTTACAAACTGAACCCCACCCTTAAAAAATATCTGTATTTGTGCCTTGTTAAATATACACGACTGTTTTAATTAAGTTTAGCCCGAGTGTTAAATTTCGTTACTTGTAGAAGCGACAGTTAATCGCAAGTTTGTTTATGTAACTGTTTACGAAATATATATTGTGTAGTTCAATTGTTGTGAATTGGTGATTGTTATATTAGTGCATCATGCTACTAGGACCTTATAAGTTTTTCTCGTAGTTTTAATTGAGTATTATTGCATCATAATATCTCATAGTGTGTGGAACATTCTAAGCCTAAGTCGGGCTTTAAATATGCGTCCAAAATGTAGGTCCAGTTAGATACGTAGATACTTGAGATAGATCTAGACTGCATGATTGTGAGTTTAGCTATAAAGAGCATATAGTGACGATTTTTAAAGTAAAATTATCACAGATTGTATTGTCATAACAGAGTAGAGTAGAAATAAGTTGTTTTGACATTTGGATTCTAAAGTAATTGAACCAGCCTGTGTGGACTTTGACGAAAAAGAGACAATTATTTAAAGCTCTGGATACAACTGAGGTAACCAACTGTTATAGTAGCGATTTTAAGGTGAAATTATCACAGACTGTATTGTAATAACAGAGCAGGAAGAAAATAACAGATGCCACACAAGAAAACTTTGAATGAAATTTAATACAGATTTTAAACAGATGTATTCAAAATGATTTTCTCAACTTGTTAAGCTGTGTTATATGTTTATGACTGTTTTTCAAAAAAATTTATCCTGATCTTTAGCTGTTATTTATTTTGTACAAATATTTTTATTAATTCCTTTCAATATATTTTGTTCCTTGAGTATGTTACTGAAATGACCTTGTTCATTAATGGTAAACGTTTGTTTGAAATCAAGCTATACAATGGGCTATCTGTGCTCTTCCCATCATGGGTATCGAGATCCGGTTTCTAGCATAGTAAGTCCGCAGATATACTGCTGTGCCACTGAGGGCAATGGCTAAGTAGAGCTCTTCTAACAAATTTCAGTTATATTTTGATATTTAAAACCAAAACATGATTAAAATAACCCACGTAGTAGTAGAAGTCCAATAATTAAAACACGCTTCTTAAATCACATTATTGATTATATTGTTGTGTCAGCGAGTCACATGACACTGTGACGCAACGTTTCTAGAACTATCATGTACTTTGGCGAATGTTCTACTTCTTGCTAGAAATAGGTTACGCTGGTATATAAAAGATGGGAATGTAATGTGTGGATAGACAGTGAGTAATTGAACTGCAGTCAGAGAGCACGAGAGACGTTCGTTGATTAGCGTTTGTTTTAACGCGATTGTTGAAGTTGAGTGTATCAGTAAAGTTATATTCGGAAAGAATAAACCAGTTTTATTAAGTAAAGTCTTGTGTCGCTTAAGTTTCGTCGGTACGAAGTTACGGAAAATTAATTAACACACGGAGACGTAACAATATTAAATACATTTCTGATGGGAAACGCTACATTGAATTTATATTTTTAGCGAAAAACATTTAGTGCAAAGTGTTCCAGTGGATTTCAACATTAAATATTTTACGTATTTACTATTTTACACATATCATTCATCCAACCAATCTTTTAACTCAGTTGCTTGATTCTATTAGATACGCGGCCAGGCAGTCTGCTGGTTTGAATCTCCGTCCCACCAAACATACTCGCCCTCGTCGTGGGGATTTCATAATGTGACGGTCAATCCCACTATTTGTTGGTAAAAGAGTAGCTCAAGAGTTGGCGGTGGTAGTGATGACTAGCTGCCTTCTCTCTAGTCTTTCACTGTTGAGTTAGGGACGGTTAGCGCAGAAAGTCGTCGTGTAGCTTTACGCGAAATTCAAAACAAACCAAACTATTAGACTCTATCGCCGTTACTTTCAGTGAACATATTGATCGTGAAATGCATCACATTCAAAATAAACACAGGAAAACAAAAATATGAATGTAAGCAAGTGAATGAATTACATTTTTTTAGACATAGATATCGAAGAAGGGGAAGATCGAAAGCATATTTCAAATTACCAATACTATTTGTATGTTGAATTTCGCGCAAAGCTATTCGAGGACTATTTGCACAGCCGTCACTAACCTTGAAGCAAATAGCCTTAGTAGCATTGCCATAAATACAAATACAAGTGCCTACGGTGACTTCATTAAGTATTTTGGCTCTCTGCGATGTTCTCACCGCGGGAAATCGAACCTTGGATTTTAGCGCTTTAGTCCATAAACTTACCGCTGACGCACCGGAGGAAAATTTATTAAATTGATCCAATGTTTGCTTTAAACTTTTTATGACATTTAGACCAAAAGATACATATTTAGATCTCATTAATAAGGAATAGATCTCGAAAAATGCGAAAGTTGTGCTTTTTAATAAAATACAACTGAAATTATTCTTTAATAAGTTGGATAAATCCTTATTTTATTCATATCACTCCCCGAGATGTAGGTCCGGCATGGCCAGGTGGTTAGGGAGCTCGATTCGCAATCGGCGGGTTCGAATCCCCGTCCCACCAAACATGTTCGCCCTTTCAGCCGTGGGGGCATTATAATGTGACGGTCAATCTCACTATTCGTTGGTAAAAGAGTAGCCCAAGAGTTGGCGGTTGGTGGTGATGACTAGTTGCCTTCCCTCTAGCCTTACACTGCTAAATTAGGGACGGTTAGCGCAGATAACCCTCGTGTAGCTTTGCGCGAAACTCAAAAAACAAACAAACCCTGAGATGTTTACTTTTTTGTCTCCACCATCTCCTGTTTTGAAACATAAATTTTGGGCTAAATGTAAAATTTGACAAGACTGAAATTTGTATTAAATTACTTGGAGTTTACCACCTTCGTGATTGTAATTTTGCTTATGGCTGTTAGTTTGAAATTTGATGGGGTAAAAACTTTGATTTTTTGCCTATAAAAGTAATGTAATTCGTCACTACAATCAGGTGAAAGGTGTAGTTATAGGAATAAAGATTGGGGTCCGCTTACGCTTATTTATTTGTTGCTTATGTCAAAGAACAAATGTTTCAAAATTACACAGGAATTATCCCTAAACAATGTCAAAGGTACAGAGATGACATCTGAGGTTTAGCTATCTGTACTATTGAAAAACTGAAGCAGTTTCTTCAGAATGTTAAGTGTTTTCATTTATCACAGTGGTATGTCTGCGGGCTTAAAACGCTAGAAACCGAATTTCGACACCCATGGTGTGCAGAGCACAGATAGTCTATTGTGATTAATTAGAAACAAACAAACCGTTTCTCAACAAACCAAATAATTTCTTGACATAAGCATCTCTTTCACGAATAATGGCATTCTTTCAGCCTCATTATACTAAAGACCCATAACTCCAGGCATATTCCGTTAATAAGAAACATACCAAAATTCCAACTAACCAGAATACATAAATTATGCCGTAGTGACGACGATTTTGAAAACAAAACTAATGAAATTACCCCCTTTTCTTCTATGTTACCTTTTTCCGTACTTCATCTTACCAAAAACAATATATATATATGTCAACACTATAATAAAGTAGCTCCTAATTCAGAAGATTAAGGTTTAATTCATTACACCAATAATCCTGATTTGTCTTTTATCAACATAAATAGCAATCCCCCTTTTTCTATTAAACAAGAAAGTAATTCAGCACTCAATAAACACCACTTGAATAAGTTAACTTCTACCATTAAAAACAATATATGCGTTCTTCTGACTTATTTTTACATCATACAACATGACACTACAGTGGGTCATATTTTCTGTGAAACCTCTCGTCTCTTATCGGCGTGACAGTATCATCAGAAACACACTAGTGTCGTATTCTCAGACACACTGGTTACCTTCCAGGCAGTGGAGTATCCAACGAGGGTGGGGGGCTGGCCCTACATTGGAAATCTTTGCCCCTTCCCCCAGCAGCCCTCTCGATCTGAAGTATCAGGATGTAGTCTTTTAAGATTTTAAAATTGTCCATACTTTGTGACACCCACTAACATAATAGTGTTTTTTTTCTTCTTTTGGACAGGCGGGTTAGTCACACTATGCAACTTAACTGAAACAAACCTCTTACTAACTAAGACCTAGCGGAGGGTTTAATAGTAGATTGAAACAGCCACGAAGTTACGCAAAGAGAGCCTGAAGTAATGTCGGCATTTTTGATAATTAGAAAGAATAAATGGACACTTCTTAAAGGCAAAAAGCCGATTTCTTTCGTATTTTATAACATTTGACCCCTTCTACCCCAACTAACTATTGGCCCATCTTCTGCCCTCAACTCGCATGCAAGAATGTTATGCGAAATTTAACAGTTCTGTCTCTGATGCAGTTGAAAAAATGGAACAACACAACTTAATAAAACAAAGTGGAAAACAATCTTTAATATAGTCAAAACAATAAAAGACGGACGGGTGCACAACACTTTCAGACAGCACTGCTCTTTTTGTGTGGAGATTAAGAAAGCATAACAACTACATAAAAAAAATAGTATAATCTCTCCCAGAGCACGTGTGCTACCCATGGCATTCTTGATAATTCCATAAGAAATCATAGAGATAATATTATATTCAGGCAGCGTCAAGTCTCTGTCCAGTTAACTTCAATATAAAGACCATATAGCAAACAACAATAACAAAAAACGCGTTCTATGGAAACATGTATTGACATCAAAGGGAAATGTATAACTAGAACTTATATTACTACTCTTTACTTAGAAGTCATCCCTAGTTTTAAGTTGTAAAATGCAATCATAAGTTTTGTTTGTTTGTTGATAAGCACAAAGCTACACAATGGGCTATCCGTGCTGTGCCAACCACGGGTAGCAAAACCCGATTTTAGCGATATACGTCTTGAGACTTACTGCTGTGTCACTAGGGGTTGGAACAATAAAAAAAAAGAAATTAAAGCTGTGTACTAGTTATGTATCTGTGGTAGCTTACTATTACTTCCGCGTACACATAGAAAAACAAGTAGACAATACAGATAAGCACAACCGTTTAAGAATGATCATTATTAGCAGTGTTAACTTAGAATATGCATGATCAGAAAATAAAAGCCTTTAACACAAATTCAATCAATGACATCATATAAACCCTATAACAAAGAAAATTGCTACAAATATATAACAGTAATACTATGTAATGTAATATTTGTTACAAAACACCAAACTCGCATGTAAATCAGGAATTGAAGTTGATACCAATTATATTAAGTCATCTAAGACCGACACGTAAGACGGGTAATGGCTTATGAATATATATATACACCTGGAAAAAAGTTAAGCACCCCCGTGTTTTTTCAAGTGATTCAGATTCGACGTTCTTGTGACTGATTATAAATTACCATTCAATCTAAACGTGTTTATCAAATGAAATTATGCATTACTGGGCACAAGAAAACAAGATT